TGGGGGGTTTGGAAGAAATACGTCCGACATGTACGGATCGCTGCGGATGTTCTCGATGAGGTTCTTGTCCGTGCGCTCTCGGATCTGGTGAAACTGCGTGAGCGTCTGGTTGAGCGGGGTGATGACCTGGTCGATGAACAGGGCGCAGCTGCTCTCCCGCTGGCGCTCTGCCACCATGGAGGCGACGGACTGCTGGCTGGAGCTGAAGTGCTGGTCACTGATCCCGCTGGACGGCTGACCATTCTCCTGGGACGACTTCCCAGTCATCTAACAAACAAAGCAGGGATGTTCCCACCTTCTGATTCAACCTTTCTCAGCAATTTCACACCTGTTCTGTACATTCTACATGTTGGCAATGGAACCACGCTAATCATATTAATAATCTTATTAAACAAATTAAGTTAAATGGAAGCTTCTTGCATTAGACTGATAGCATTCATCATCATCATATACAGTAATATTGTTAATGTCAACCATGTTAGATACAGTGGAATTAGACAACATTACCATCAATTTGAATACTACAATTATGATTATATATATGTATCACTTTTGGTCTATCATGATACTAGATTTTCTGATTTGCACAATTTGGAATGAACTGAAGGGGGAAGAAGCTGCAAACCAAGCGTACAGAAACTACGGTAACAGGTGTCACATTAAAAATGTACAGAATTTAATAGAAAACCTATGATAATTGCCATGGGAGACCCTAAGTTTAACTCCAACATAACTGAACATGGGACATGTCTCAAAAGCACGTTTCGTGGCCAGTTTTTCTAAAAATGTGCTAGATTCAATTTTCAGCAGTGTCTCTTAGGCCACACCAGCAGTGTCTCTTAGGCCACACCAATTCAATTTCTTGGTTAAAGGATTTTTCTAGAAAAATAATGGAGCGGGCGGGCGAACAACAAATAAAAATAAAAACAGGTCTAGGCATCCTATTATGGCCCAAAATGGTAGGATAGGAGCCATGAAGTCAACACACCAGGCTGGTTCAAAATTTCAACAAATTGAATTTTGAACTTTTTATGATACCATTGCATTGAAAGATGGAATAACTGTAACAACTAGGAAGAAAAGGACTGCATTTTGCAATTGATTCTGATTCTGAATTGTTTTTGCAAACCAGAAAAAAATGAAGCGGGCAAATCCGTTAACCAAGAAATTAAATTGGTGTGGCCTTAGTGCAACATGACAAGCTTGGCCATTAAAGAGGTACTAGGCTAGCTAAAGTCTGCAATGTGACTGAGGCAATGACTGTACTAAAAACAGTCATTGCCTTGTGTTAATGTTCAAAGGCATCCAATGAAATTTCAGGGTGGTAAAACTGGATTTTCAAAGTCAATTTTCTTGTCATTCTTTTAATGTGATGTCACTGATGGGAAACGGTTGCTTGTTTTGTATTGTAGGCTCAGGTTCTTGCTATTCATGGTGGTACCCAAAAAATGGAGGGATTCCTCACATAACTTGTTGTGGGGCTATTTCAAACGCTTGAAGTATGAAATGATGACAAAAATGTGGTAAGAAATGGTAGTAAATGTCAATATTAGACAGATTTCCTCATCCAGAATATTTTTTGTTTTACCCTGAAGTTGCATTGGATGAGCACGTTGGCAGAACGTACTGCACCTGCGCGAAATCCGTAATGCATTGTGCATAGCACTTCGGCAGATCATCTCATATAAGGTTGTATTCGAGCACATAAGATCAACACTCCGTCTGTAGTTTCCAAATGTTATGTCGGAAAAATATCATCTGCAAGCGGACAAAATTCTGATGCAACGTTGACCAAAAAAACAACGAAAACCGTGAAAAATCAGGGTTCTCCGCAGGCGCAGTACGTTCTGCCGACGTGCTCACAGGATGCCTAAAAGCCATGTTGTACGTAAGTCTCAGCTTTACCTGTTGTTCTATCCGGTTAGCGACCATCTGTGTGCGCAGACTGGACTTCCTGCTCCCACTGCCCATGCCTGGTGGGTACAGTCTGTTGCCATAGGAACCGGTTCCTGGCAGGGAGTGGATGCTGTCCCTGGAGGGGCCGGAACAAGGAAAAACTGTTAGAAATATTCTCCACCCAAACTCAAAGTCACTTTAGGCTCCGCTCCTGTGGCATTGCCAAAAATGTCAGAAATGTCACAGCACACAAAACTTCTTGTGGACAGGCAGAATTGTCAAGAGTTATGTTAGTTACATACAAGTCAAGTGTAGTAAGACAAAAGAAACAGTCAAGCTTTGATATAACAAATTGTGAATCTTGTTGGACTAATATGATGATAATATTTATATTATTTCAAAGACTGTTGACTGTGTATAAATCCTTGGCTAGACACAAGTGGTATACAATGTATTTGGTGAGACTGTTATACTCTCTTCAAAGTCTAATTACCTTGGCCAAGGTTATGTTTTCAGTAGCGTTTGCTTGTGTGTGGGTGGGTGGGTGCAAGGAGGTTTGGTGGGTGGGTGTGTATGTATGTGTATGTACATGTATGTGGTTTAGCATGATAACTCTAGCTTTAACTGGACGGATTGTTATTAAACTTGGTAGGTGGGTAGGTCTTCATGAGACCTAGAAATGATTAGATTATGGGCCACTAGCATCTTTCCTAGGTATTGCAGCACAACTTTCGCTTTTTGATATCTCATGATCTAGACATGCAAAGTCTAAATGCAAGAATTATACGGGTAGTAAACAGTAAAGACATGAACTTGTGTTGCTGCCATTTTAATCCATAATATTCCATGCCACGGGTGGCCTGCTATGCTTCAACCCCTATGTCTAAAGACAAACCTTTCCAGGTGGCCATAGCTATGGGTTTCAGAACAGCATACCAAGTATTTAGAAATGGCTATGTACACTATAAGATCCATTGTAATGCAAATAAAGGATACCAACATAGTGGGCAGCAAGAGTGAAAATACATAAAGGGAAGACAGTTAATTAAATTGGTGTGGCCTATCAAAATCAGAACATTAAAATGTGTAACACAGTAACATCAGCTGCAGCTCCACACCAATCCAACAGGGGGCATTCCTCTTCAAAGTTACAGAATATTACAGACTGTATGTAGCCTCTACTGGGCTTGGGGAAGGGGCTGGAAGGAGTGGAAATCAGCCAAATAGAGAGATAGCAAGCCAAGGGAGTTGGTGCTGCTGGAGATAACATTTTGCCGCTTCCAAAGCCAGTCGGGGGTCTTGAGTTATCAACTTTGTGGTGTCTATTGCATAAAACACTTGAAACTGGGGTAGAATAAGATAAAATATCCATCCCTGATTTCCCCGTTTAAGGTTCATCCATATACATTGTGTAGTATATTTCAAAAGGGAAGGAGACACAAATCATCAGAAACGTCATTTATTGTTTTATCTTTTAGAAGTGCATTTAGTCCGAGTGTCGGGCATGAATATGCAGTAAATAAAGTTCAGTGTCATTGTTTAATATACTTGTACATGCATGCGCCACTGGTAGAGCCAGAAATGTCTATAAAACGTCTAATGGACATTTAACATTCTTGAAAGTTCTGCACATTTTTTAAACATTTGTAAGAATGTCTTTCCCAGGTCTTTACAGGGTCTTTTTGGGGAGGACTTGCTTGTTGTGTTTTCTATTGTTCATGAGGTGTCTGTCAGAATGTCTTTAGAAAAAAAGTGTGAAAACCAAGACAATTTATAGGGGAGGACACCATTAATTAATAGACAGATGCTAATATCTTTATAAGTACGCATTGTGCTAAACAAAGGACTGTCTCCTAGGGGTGTCCCTACCTGACGTGTGAAGAGACTATGGATATAAAATGTCCATCTTGGGTTATTTCAATGTCATTTTCAGTCCCGACTGGCCTTTGTTCAGCAATGTCTAAATCATGTCTAATGTCCATTAGACGTTTTGTAGACATTTTTGGCTCTACCACATATGTATGTCAGAGACAGAACCCTTTGAAACCATTACTGATTAGACTAGACTGACCCCGGTGGCTCAAGCTGCACCAACCACACTGCAGACCATCGCAAGTAAATCTAACTACTACAGGCTATCCTTCTTCCCTCGTACCATCAAACAGTAGAACCAACTTGAGCCTGGTGTGGCGGAGGCGGGGTCTCTCACCCAGTTCAAAACTGGACTGGTGAGGTCCCTGCTGCATTGAGTCGCCCTATACAATCATGTCTTGTATATTTGTAGATACAGTATTTGTATGTATTATAATTGCTGGGAATTGCATAGAATTCTAAAACACGGCGTATGGTATAGAATTTGGTCCGATTACATTGTATATTAACACATTAAATTCTAGCAAAGATGGCATCAACGGACAGTTGAGTATTTGGATAAAAACGCTAGACCACCCAAAAATATGAAAATATCTGTTTAGGGCTGCAGAGAATGACATTTTCTTATAAACATCAGCACATCTGCCATGGCGTGCGTCTCTGGTGGTAGTCGGCACTACAGAGATACGCCCCGCCCGCATGTGAGCGGTACGGGTAACAGGAACCACGTGTTGGCTTATGATTGTCAAGGTCCTGGCCTGAATTGTGTTCTAAAAGGCCTTAAGCCTCGGTCACAACCTGCCGTACGTGCATCTGCGTGATGTCTACGTGCAAAAACCCTAAGAAAAAAGGAAGGGGATCCGTGCGTGGTGAGTACCGCCTCCGTACGGAATCCTACAGATTTGGGAGCACGCAGACACGCCGTAGAACTTTAAGTGCATGTAAAACTTTTTCTGCGTGCGGTCTGCGGATTTACCACCCGTGCGTACGAGTACGGGCGACGCGCGTGCCCCTTAGGTACCGTACGTAAGACGCATGTGTGAGTACGGCTCCCTTACGGTTAAGTTGCAATCGCACAGAGATCGCACGTTGTGAGCACATACAACTCACCACTTACGCAACAAACGATGCACGCAACCGCTCACGGCCAGACATGGCATGCAGACCACACTCTTACACCTTGCGCAATCATGCGAGTGACGTGCGTCGACGCCACTCCTTCCCCACGTTTTCAGAAAAACGTAGCAGACGTGGCCTCCAAAAAAAACGTACAGACAAAAAGCACGCACAGCAGGTTGTGACCAAGGCTTTACCGAGGCCCTTGGTGTTCCTATCACTCACTCACTCTCCCATAGCTATAACATTATATCAATTTCCCTTCATGGAATTACTTACTTTAATTCTGCTTATTTTTTGCATTATGAATGAACCGCACTGACCTGAATGCAGTGTCTGCTGGGATAGCGTGCCCCACGCTGCGACGCAATGTTTTATTCAAAAATTGTCCTTGGAATTTTTTGGAAATTTCTGTTTAGTTTATCAACTGGTTAAGACAAGAGGTTGCGACCTATCAAGCGACAGGTTTACTTGTTCGATTTTTCTATCGTTTTGATACTGATTTTAGAACAATACAGACAGTTTCTGAAGGATTTTTGCAGATCGATGTTCTCTTTGTTTATGTTTCGGCCCATTTTTGTTTTATCTATTACGGTGCACACCCCAGTTCTTCTGCAACCAGGGTCCGTGGTAGTCCGTTGTAAAAAAAATGACGAATCCGCCTGTTTGACCTAGATTTCGGTCTGCGCCTTCCTAGGAGTGGATTTGCAACCCCTCGCACAGTGGACGGTTTAAAAAATTACAGTACCAGAATTTTCTTTATAATTTACTAGGGTATAGTCAAGGTTTGGGTCTTTCTGCCAGCATCAGTCATTTCTGCCAGAAAACTTTTTTTTCTATGCAATTATCCTACGAAAAAATTCACAATTTTGGGCATTAATTATGGAGTGAAAATAATGTTTTTTCCGTTGATTTTACCAAACTTAAAAAGGTTGAAGAAACCAAACTTGGCTGGTCTTGTAGCTGAAGAGATATCCTTTCGTCCCATATATACAGTTATTCTCCTTCCGAATTATTCCATGGCAGAGACAGTTGCTAGATTTGAGGGTGTGTCCCCTTTACACCCATGCACAGCTGTAGAATCAGTTACATAGTATTTTCCTTAGCGCTCTTACCCTTATTTCCCTTTCCTTATTTCTTCCTTTTTAACATGACTTGTGCAGCTGCTAATAATCCAATTGCTTTTGGGCTAAGCAGAATGAAAGAAAGAAGGAAGTAGAAGAACGTTGTGTGGGCCAACAGTGATGTTTACATTCATATGGTCATCAGCAATTTTCAGTTATATACCATTTTTCCTTAACAATAATATTTTGTGCAGTAATGTACATCTGGTCTACAAAATGTTCACCACAACAAGGACAACAACATGACATTGATAATATTAGCAGGCACAACAAGAACCCGTCTAACAAAACCACAATCTACTGGCACGGTCACAGCAGGAAGATCTTGGCAAGGAAAATTCACTTGGAAGGAAAAGTGAAGGAAAAAAGGAACAAGACCACAAGACTCTTCTGTGTTAGATTAGTAGACCTTAGCCTCCTTTGCAGATGTTCTCTGTGTTTTTGGGGGGAGGGGAGGGGAGTGCTGATTCGCATTTTTTTTTAATTTGCACTATTTTCTGATTGGCTGAGTTTTATGATCACGTGTTCTCTGACCACCTGTTTATTTCACCTTGATGAAGATGATCACACATGCCTCTCTGTGTCTCTCAGAAAACTTACTTGGTTCAAGCTCCAGACATTACACTGTAGCACACCAATTTAATTTGTTGCTTCTCTGATTTTTTTAGAAAAAATATGAAGCGACAAGGCGAAAAAAAAAACAGGCCAAGGTACCCCATGATAGCCGGAAATGTTACAATATGAGCCATGAAGTGGACATACCAGGCTGGTTTATGATTAAAACAATAGATTTTGAACTTTTAATGAAACAAAATTGCATTATTACATTGAAAAACTTTAAGAACTAGGAAGAAAAGGACTTTCTTCAACCGTTGGGGTCAAAATATGTCTTTCATTGAGCATTTTGCAGTTAATTTAGAACAAAAAAATTTTTTTTTTTTTGCAAATCAAAAAAAAATGGACAGGGCGATCCGAGAAGCAACAAATTAAATTGGTGTGGCCTAACCAAGAACTAGAACTGGGCTTCGAGCTTGGGAAAAGAAAAAGCAGAGACATCTACCTGTTGTTATAAATAAGCTAGCTGAAAGACTAAAACAATCACAACAGCTTCTACTCTGAATGGAAAACAAAGCTGAAAAAGTAGGTATTCACCTGAATGCAAAAAAAAACACACAGGGCTCGAAATTCATTTATTGGAATAGGCGCACCCATCCTAAAAAATTGGGTGCAGAAAATTTTTTGGGGTGCACCATATAAATTAGAATAAAAACTACACATGTTTTATTTCTAAAGAAAAATAGACAAACAAAAAAACAAAAACAAAGATTTCTGACACAAGAATATGCTGCGTAGTAGTTTACATTAACATCTTTACATACGTAAACCTACAAAAATGTTTTGGTGCACCGGTGCACCCACAGAAAATAATTGGGTGCACAGCTCCAAATTTGGGTGCACTGAGGTGCACATGCACCCAGTATTTCCAGCCCTGACACAGAAAACTCAGCCAATCAGAAAATAGTGCAAATTAGAAAATAGCGCAAATCAGCCCCGCCCTCTAACCCCCCAAAAATCAACCACACCAGGAACAACTGCACAGGAGGTTAAGTGAACCTACACACTCAACAATTTGGGTGGTACACATACGGAGTCAAATTTCTGTGATCGAGTAAAGGCAGCCAGATCTGCTCCTCGTCTGTGGGACATGTGGCGGCTTGAACGCACATTGTGTCTTCCCCATGCAGGCTCGCACCATTCCTGTAATGGCACGGTGGGTTCATGCATGTTTATTGTGCTGTTAATCATATCTTAGGAACCCCACACGCTTCAACACTCTTAAGCAAGCGGCTGTCAACGTTGTGATGCAGGAAATCACGGGAAAGATTTGGAGTTTTGTAAGTGTCTTGTGATGGGAATCAACCATGTGAAATGTAGGTGCATGCACAATTCCTACAGGATCAGTGAGATAGAAACAAAATCATTAAGTCTTGGTGAGTCAAGCGGTAAACTCTAGATAACTGCTCATGCAAGGTAGCATATTTTTATCATTCTGCACACATCATAATTCCACATTGTCTTATAATTTCAACATGGCATTACTCAGCAACTGCTCAGCACAGAAAATATGCATTTGAACAAACATTTCAGTGCAGAAGTTAACACCTCAATGTACTACATACATGTACATTGAGGTTACTTATAATTTCTTTCTGAATTCTTAATTCTATAGTTCTCTTATTTCATACATAATTATATAACTACCTTCTCCATAATCAAACTAGTTCTTGTAGTTATTTTTTCAAGGCGCATTTAGGCCACACCAATTTAATTTTTTGGTTAACAGATTTGCCCGCTTCATTTTTTTTGATTTGGAAATAAAAATAAAAGTTCAGAATCAACTGCAAAATGCTCATATTCTGCCCTGAACAGTTGAAAACAGTCCTTTTCATCCTAGTGTTTACAGTTATTCCATCTTTCAATGCAATGGTATCATCAAAAGTTCAACATTCATTGTTTAAATTTTGAACCAGCCTGGTGTGTTGACTTCATGGCTCCTATCGTACCATTTTGGGCCAAAAAAGGATGCCTAGGCCTGTTTTTATTTTTATTTTTTTTTGCTCACCCGCTCCATTATTTTTCTAGAAAAATCCGTTAACCAAGAAATTAAATTGGTTTGGCCTTAGCATAATATCCTGTAGTCAAGAGCAAGAACAACAACAAAAAAGGTCACAAGAAGACCAGCCCCAGAAGTACAAGAAGACCAGCCCCAGAAGTACAAGAAGACCAGCCCCAGAAGTATTGTATGTAACAGTCTGACCTGCTGCCTGGCAATGGTAGTCCCAGGCTGTCCTCGTTACAGCTGCCCGGCCTCAGCAGCGCGGGTTCAGGCAGGCTGGTGGCGCTGGGCTGGTTACACAGCGGCTTGTGAGACTTCTCCTCCTTCTTCTCCTCCTTCTTCTCCTCGCCCCCCTCCCCTCCGCTGACGGCGTCTGGTCGTTCTCGTTAGAGTCCAGCAGGCTGTTGCAGCTGTCCGACAGCGCTGACTTGTCCAGCTCCAGGTTGGAGTTGAGCGGGATCAGCTTTCCCCGCCATGACAGCGGGCGCGGCGGCGGCGGCTGCTCCTCCGCATTCACGATAAGGTACGTCTTCATGCCTGAGGAGGAATTAGGAAGATATCAAGGTCAGTTTAGCAAACAAATACCCTGCAATACAGTACACAGTAATATGCATCTGTGATCTGAGATCTTGTTTTCGTCATTTGTCTATTTGTTTGCTTGTATTTCCTGGTAGTTATTCAAAGTTGAGGGGGAAATGGTGTAACTGTCACAGGTAGGTTGAATTGGACTCGCAGGTCAAAATGGTCTCCCTGCAGCCCGCCACAAACAACAGGAACACCATCCACGGCACCAAGGGGCGTGTTTTTTTACGTCTTCATAATTCAAATGGTACCGCAGGCATTCCACCACACATCGCCCTGTTATGTCTGAAGTGAACACATCTCTATACAGTCAAACCTGTCCAAGCCGACCACCCAGGGGACCGAAGAAAAGTGGTCATCTTAGACAGGTGGTCTCCTTGAAGAGGGTCGCCTCACAATATGACTGAGACATAAAGAGTTTCCAAGTTAAGCTGTTCTATTCTTAATGTCAAATGCTGTAAATGCATGTGGGGAGGGTGGCACATGGAACAATTTACAGTCAAACTTGTATAAGAAGACCACCCTGGGGACCTAAGAAATCTGGTCTTCTTAGACAAGTGGTCTTCTTATCCAAAAAGGAGCCAGGTGACAAGAAAACAAAGACACCGATTTCGAAGTTTGATATTTAACGTGTTAATTATACTATTTATAGATAAGCAGTAATTATTAGCAAGGATGTTTAATACTAACCATTACATTTGTACAAGATTTTTTTAATGATAAACATTAATTATTTCATATGTAACGTTACAGCTAGCAAAACTCAATTTGTATAGTAAAAACTCGAAGTTCAACATGTTTATGGATGTACAATGTACATTGTACTTGTAAACTGTGCAAGGCCAAACTCTAGCTCCCTTGACGATTTCTTCTCAATCTCTGCCAGTCTGCCCCCTTCTGGGATACGGTCAACGTCTTTCTTTCCGCTTTCGCCATCGTACTCTCCGCAATCGCCACGAGAAGTCGAAAATGACTTGTTCTCGGGCCCCACGCCATTCACAAATAAAATTGTCTGAAGACATCGCGATTTTTTAAAAATATTTGGTGAGTGTTTTGGGTGACCAACACATGGCACATTTCCCCAATAATGTAGATTTCTTTAATTTGTACCTTGAAACAATTGTTCTTCAGTTCGTTTTCGTTCGTTTTTTTGAAACACAAAAATGTAGCGACAATTTCCTTTGTTTACTTTGGCTTGGGTTGATTTGGCTTGGGTTGCATCTGCCATTATGCCAACGTGGTAGTCAGCAGAAAAGTCGGTCCCTTTAGGCTTATATTTTTTCTAAAAAATTACACAGTAGTCTTAAATTTACATCGTAAAATACGAATACTAACTTAGTTTGACGGTTGTAATAATTTAATTACAGTATTTGATGCCACGAAAAAAAATCAAAGTAGATAAATTTACCTCTATAACAGTGGAGTCTTCCAATGACCCCAGTTAACCTTTCTTTCCGCCTGCGGGCGCCATTTTGAAAATCAGCGAAACTTATTTTTCAGACCAAATTCCTTGAATTATGCCCATGAAAATCGAAAATTGGGTGTATGTTTATGTTTTTCAGGGAATTGAAAAACCAAATAAGGATATTTTTAAGTTTTGACGTCAAGAAAATTGCCGTAATCTTCGCCGATTCCGGAAGCACCATGTGCCCCGCACGTGGCATTGGCGTTTTCAAAACAAATGAATTGATGAAAGACATTTTGTAGAAATACAAAGGCGACCGCAAACACTTCGTGTCAAAACCAAGTTTTCCTTAATTTCAAATGCATAATAAAAATTTATGGAGTCTGATTTCAGTTCACATTTTTTATATTTCAGCGGCCGGAAAATTATCACAAGGCTAATCATAACGGCCGTGTAGCCCGATCTGGGTTGCGTTACGGCCGTGGTTCTTTGCGTGATTTCAGTAGATTTCAGTGTTGACAAGCCGGCGGGACCAGAATACCGAAAATGACGCGGTCGTTTTATGCAAAGTTGGGTCGTTTGCGGACCAAATTGGGGTGGTCGCGGTCACAGAAGACAAGTGGTCTTCTTGGGCAAAATCCTTAATGCTTGTGGCCTATGCGGGAAAAAATCGGGACCGGCAAAAACCGGTCGTCTTGAACCGATGGTCGGTTTATGGACGTGGTCGCTAGACCAAGTTGCACTGTACATCGAACAAAAACATCATCCAGCAGTCGAGGCAAACTGGCTGGTTTCTCCATGATTTCTCATTGGTTATCATCAATGAATCAACATGATCGAAACTGATGTGGTCACCATGGGCAGGTATCAGGCCTTGAGCGGACACAACTCAGGGTGGTCATGGTCGTGTTGGCCAGGTGGTCACCTTGGACAGGTTGCTTAATGCTTGTGTCAAAGAGGAAAATTTTTTGGACTGAGAAAAAGCGGTCACCATGGACAGGTGGCCAGCTTGAAGAGGTGGTCTCCTTGGCAGGTTTGACTGTATTGTAAAATTTGTAGCAAAAAGTGGACCAAAGTCGAAGAAAACCACATACAACATTGCCCCCTACAGTTTAATGTTAGTACTGCAGCTGAGTGCAGACATATGTCTATTGAATTACCCCAGACTGAAGGGACTGTTCAGGATAGCCATGTGTCCTCTTCAATGCCTGTCCCTGTGCTCACACCACAGTTATCTGATTACATCAGTAATGACTTCCATTTGGAGGGTTACAATCAGGTAAATGGACGGGTAACAAGCTTAGCGTGGACATGGAACCTTTTTGGTAATCTATGACATTATTTCTGATGCCTACATGCAGGATGTCTTCTCTGTCAGCAACATTTGGGCTCAAAATACCTTTTCTGCATGTTGTGATGCAGTCACATTTCTTGTACAATCTTGATACTGTACAATTTTCAGGCAGGCTACATGTATGACAGAACCAACAAGTAAAATCTGAGATTTTATACCTTCGCGCTTTTTATTGTATATTCTTATATGTTGTTTGTTATGAACAGTTCATGGTGTTAAATTTTATGTGTTAGATTTAGCGTTCCAGGTTGTGTTAACACAGGTCAACATTTTCATCTGCAGCTTATAACATGTACCCATGAACTTATGAAATTCTATTTAATCTCATCTATTTTAATCTTTAATCTTGCAAGGAACTCGTAATGAAACTCAGAATGACAACCGGAACCGTTAAATCAGACATTAAAACCACAAATATTTCGATCGAAAACATAGTGGCTGGGGTCCGAAATGTCACATACAGAAGCTTACTGCTTATAGCACGTCAAATATACAAGGGTTTACAAGAAGTTGTAGTAATACAGGCAAAAGTTTGCATAATACTCATACTTTCTCTCTCGCTACCTTTACCAGACACCGTGCCCCCGTATTGACACTTCCGGGTTCGATCCAAGTCAAAAAGCACCATAAATCCGCGAAGAAATATATATTTTCACCAAAGGTTCTTTGAATTGTGCATATTTTCACTGAATCTGGCTACGCAACCCTGGAAAACAGCGTTTTGGTGCATATTTTTAAACAAAGAATGTATCGAGACTGGACCCCTCTGTGCGAAAGGTCATACAAGTGGACCCGACTGATAATACTTTAAACACACCAAAGGTCAACGGTTGCGACCATTTTCATGCTCAAAGGGGTGTTTTGGGCCACCAAAAGGCACCATTTTCCCAGTCAAAAACACATATACAACAAAACAAAAGAACGTGCATCATCTACAGCCCAATAGCAAAACATATACCGAGTCCCAAAAGAATCTGTCCACCCAAACGCGAGAAACAACTGCGAACATGAAAATCTAAATCTCTCACAAAGCCCGTGGACGGACTGGCAACAACTGACACGGACCTGCAACAGCCTTTTCCTTAAACAAACCCAAAGCAATTTCAGGGCAGTAAAACTGGCTTTTCAAAGTCTAGTTGATCATGTCATGGAGGTTATATTTTCAGTTGCGTTTATCTGTCTGTCTGTCTGTTGGTCAACAAGATAACTCAAGAACGGCTGGATGGATTGGTTTCATACTTGGTGCGTTGGTAGGGTTTGGCGAAAACTAGAAATGATGAGATTTTGGGCCCCCTAGTGGCTTCCCTTGATACTGCAGTGCAACTTCCGGTTTTGATATCTCGCAATCTGGAAATGCTATGGTCATGAAATTCAGCTAATTAGCAGGATTGTAAACCACAGCCATTTATAGGGGGTCATCACCATGCATTAAAGATATAAAAGCACTGAATATGTCATGGAGGTATGAGATCGCCGAACTCTAGTTTCTGTTAATCCTATCCCATACCATATTGATACCAGGAATGATACAAAAATGTGATGTTGTGACATGCAGAAAACAGTTGCATGTTTTGCACTGTAGGCTGGTATTTATTAGTGGTACCAAAAAAATTAAGTACAATGTAGCTTGTTTTGGGGCTATTTCAAACATAATGCTTCAAGTATGAAATGATGGCAAAATGTGCTGACAAATGGCAGTAAATGTCAATATCAGGCCAGGGCTTGAAATTCATTTTTGGAAATAGGTGCACTGGTGTACCCAACCTAAAAAAATAGGTGCACAGAAAAATTTTGGGGTGCACCATATAAAATAAAAAAGATCTTACTGCTCCTCTTCTTAGTTTGAATCTGAAATGGAAGCTAACTTCAAAATCTTAAACAAGTACTACAACAACAGCCTTCTCAAAACAAGCCGGCTACCGGCGAAAATCGCCGCCTACTCGAATTTTTGGGCCGGCTACTTTCGTGTAAATTTTCAGAAAAACACTGTAGTCTCCGTTATATTTTCTCACAAACTCCACCGGCTCATTTCTTCTGACGAACTTCTGACAATTTTCTGCTAGCTTTCTGGATCTGAAAACTGATTCTTTCTTAGCCTCCTGTGCAGATTTCTAGTGCACGATTCAGCGTTTGCTTCTACGAGCGGCCCGCGCTAGGCTAGAGCGGCCGAAACTTTACGGGGGGAGGGTCTTGTTCGGGGCTCGAGTTGTATCCGCGGCGGAGCTGTATCGCTCGAGCTAGGCGGAACTTGCTCCCTAAACTCGTTGCTCACGAAAATTTATCAAGCCGCTACCTTCCTAACTTCTCCCGGCACTAGTAAAATTCCTGCTACAAATAACTAGTACAAATCACGTCAAAAAATATCAAGACATGTACAGAAGCGTGTTCATATCTTTCATACACCGTAAGAAACACAAGACAAATTTTCAAAAACAAATCGCCATCAGCGAGGTTTCACAGCTGTTTCATTCATCAAAAGTTCTTGTCGATCGTAAAATGATCACTCATCTGTTGTCTCCACTAGTGTGTCATTTGTAGCGTAATCACGGCGAGTCAAAAATCAGCGTCAAAACTAAGAAAACCCCGGAATAAAAAACGCACAATCCGCATCGCTGTACAAAAACAGGAGATTTCAGGCGCCATCTTGTCATGAATAAGTAAGTAGCAGTGCGCGATCGACGCTCTGATTGGTTCACCTCACATGACCTGCGTTCTGATTGGATAAGCGATGTGGCTAGCAGCACGCAGCGCGGGAAGATCTTTCTTCATCGGTGCAGAACATTTACCCTGCTTTCTACGTTTTTTCTACGACTACTTAGCAACATCCTATTAAAGAAATGCATAATTAAAAGAATTTTCGGGAAGATATATTTCTCTACGCCGATTTTTGGCCTTTTTCTCGTAATATTCTTGTTCAAGGAACCCGGAAGTCAGTGTACCGGGACGCGGAGTGAATTTCTATTGGGCATTTATGGACCGCACCCCGCTAGAATTAAACCGTCAAAACTTCCAAAAAGCGAACCTGTGACATTTTTTAGATCCCAATGATTATGTTTTCGATCAAATTGACATCTAAATATGCTTCCTTTATTTTTCTGCATTTCGTGGCCGGGCGCAAGGACCGCGCGTAATACGATCGTAGTGGCAAACAATTTTAATACAGCCTTTTTCCGGGAATTATTTGTGCACGAACAGTAAATTTTGGAGCCATAAGATTGCCATAAAAGCTGCTCAGAATATACCAAAAACGATGTTTAGGGGTCTAATTTTTACGCTTTCCTCCGGGGGAGGCCCCCCGGAACCCCCAACGGGAGGGGGGCCACCCCCCTCCCGTACCCTCCCTGCACTTCGTGGCTCGCCTGCTACTTTTTCTAATCAGCCACCTACTCTAAATTTTTTTGAGAAGGCTGCAACAAATATGTTTTCTGACACTAACATGCCAGGAATATCCTGTATACTATTATACATTTAATGTGTACAAAAATAGCTAAAAAAAATATTTGGGTGCACCAGTGCACCCACAGAAAAAAATGTGGTGCACCAATCAAATTTTGGGTGCACGTAAGGTGCACATGCACCCAGTATTTCCAGCCCTGCAAATGTAATGCTTCAAGTATGAAATGATGGTAAACATCAATATCAGGCTATAAAAAATAAGGCTCAGTACAATCTGCAACTTTCTGTTAAAGACAGGTGTTCATCCAGATGTAGGGTATATTTCTGAAGAGGTCATTATGCTGGTACTGTATTGTTTACTTACATGTTGTGTATGGACCACCTGCTTGACCGTTTCCACACACACTTGGGTCCTAACACCCTCCATTCAACTTCAGCCTCTGAACTACTTCCTCCCTACTTTCCCATACAAATAAAACCAGATGGCTCAAGTCAGACTCACTTTAAATTACACTGTGCATGGGGCCGTGTGCCATAATCAGTGTACAAAATAATTTTTTGAACCAAAGAAAATTAGGTTGCCCACTACAGCAAAAATCAGAATTTTAGGTTGCCCCACGTATAAGTTACTACTTTCCTCAAATCAAGTTAATGTTACATACATGTATACAAGCCTTTGACAATATTTCTAACAGCCTTAAGTTAACTGATACTAGTAATAGCCATTAATAAATAAAATCAAAAAGCTGACAAGATACAGTGGTGCAAGCCAAGTGGGCATGATTTCGTGGGGAGGGGGCATTCTTAAAATTCAGGTAGCACACTGGGCTACCTAGGTTCAAAAATAGGTTGCCCCAAGTAAAATTTGGTTTGGGGAGAGCCACATCCCACACACGTTAAGAACCCAACGCACTTATTGAAAAGAGTAGGGGACCTTCCCGGTGTGAGTGGTTCAAACCTTACAATCCGGTCTTACGCAGCTTGTACTTACATGTACAAAACTGGTGTGTTACGCCTAAAGGCGGTTTACCAGTTATGCGAAACAAACAAACAAACAAACCTGGGCTCAACATATTTTTTTTGCCTATTTTTTCTGCATATACCTGCACAGGTGCTAGCACCAGACAAATTTTACCTGTACCACTCAGGTTTCGATTTTTATGACTCAAATTAAAATGTATGGATCATACTTATTACTAGAAACTGTTAAAAAATATTATAATAATCATTTTGTTTTGTACTGCATAGGTGTCCTGTTTGTTGTTAAACTCACCTGGGTGATCAGATAGGGAAGTACTGCAAAATAAAGAACCTTCCAAAATTCATGGACATTCTTCACAAAACCATAAGCAGAAAAGAATGAAATGTGCATATTACATGTAAATGTATGTGTACAAGAACATAATGAGTTTGGGCTTTAAAATTTAAAATGCTAATGTAGGGTTACATGGGTTACTTTGGCCAGCAAGATCTGAAATGTAATCTGCCTTTTTTATTTAGTAACAAAATTTTGTATATATAATCTATATAAGGCCACACCAATTTAATTTCTTGGTTCTCATTTTTTTCTGATTTGCAAAAAAAAAAAAAAAATTCAGAATCAACTGCAAAATGCTCATATTTTGAACAGTTGAAAACAGTCCTTTTCTTCCTAGTTGTCGCAGTTATTCCATCTTTCAATGCAATGGTAACAGAAAAATCCGTTAACCAAGAAATTAAATTGGTGAGGCCTAAGGAACCAAGACACTTCCAACAAGATAGACAAATGTAAATTGTCCTTACCAGGTATTCCTGAATAGCGTTTATCGGCTTCCCGTTCTTCTGTCTTGTACTTGTCACCGAGATACTCCAGCGTTGCCTCAGACAGATGGACGCGCCCGGGCAGCCCCGACTGTTCCATTTTGTTGGCGAGAGTCACATCGTTGGACCACACGTCAAACTTGAACCTCTTGGTGCCGACGATGCCGCAGAGCACGGTCCCTGTGTGCACGCCGACTCTCATGTTCACGTCGTTGTTGGTCTCGGCGCAGAATTCCCTGATGGCGGTGATCATGCCCAGCCCCATCTCGATGCAGCATTCGGCGTGATCCGACCTGGCTTCGGGGCAGCCGGCGACGCAGTAGTAACAGTCTCCCAACGTGCTGATCTTCTCGCAGCCCGTCTTCTCCGCCAGACGGTCAAACCGTCCAAACAGGTCGTTCAGGAGACTAACCAGCTGTTCCGCAGACTTGTTGTTACTCATCTGGGTGAACCCGACAATGTCGGCAAACAGGATGCTCACGTTCTCCATCCGGTGCATGTTAAAGGTTCGGAACATGGACTCCTTCGGTGGGACGTTCGCCTTCTTCTTGTTCCTCGGGCTCCGCATGCGCTTGGGCGTTTCGGGCTCGTCCTCGGCGCCCTTCATGAGCGAGCTGGCGACATGCGGCGGCATGATGGAGTGGATCATCTTCTCCTTCAGCTGTTTCTCCGTCTCCAGGTCGCGGCGAGCCATGATGGACTGCCCCACCTTCCAGAAGGTGCTGTGTTTGCGGACCTGAGTCATGATGTAGATGTGGATCCCCACCAGGTGTATACACAGGTGCATGAGGATCTTAGTGATGATCTGTACCGGTAACGACAGCTCCTGGCCGATCTCCTGATTGGTCACGCCGACGATGATCTGGAACCCGACGGAATACATGACACCGGACACAACACTGAGATACAAGGGCATGGGGATTACTGTGTACAACATGATGAGGATTTCCACACATATCATAAAGGCACCGACGGACGAGATGATCCAACCTTCGCTGAAGCCCACGGCGGCAAGACTAACGCTAAACAGAGCCACCGTGAGGATCAGGGACATGTAACTGAAGAACCTCTCGTACAGCTTGGTGAAGGTCAGCCCCAGTAACACCAGACAGATGACCAGGAAGACAACGCTGCCGCCGACAAACGCCGGCCAGTTCTGGTAGCGACCCTTCTGGTTCATCACGCCGACGGCAGCAAAGTAGATTATCCACGCAAGGCAGGCTGTTGCTATGTAACACAAGGCATATCTGAAATACAAAAGGTACCATTTAGGCTTTTAGCTGTTGATAATAAATATAGAATACAACAAGGGGTATTTCGTACCAGCCCGACCGCGCGTCGGATTGCCCGACGGCCGGAGGGAGATCCGATCTGCGGGAGGGCTGGGACCAAGGGTGATGCGGAATACACCGTGTACTTTATTTATGTCCACCCAAGAAAAGACACCTTTCAATGCAAAATGAGCGAAAACTTGGTGTCCCTTAGGCCTAGGAAAATAAATGTTGTGTTTCCTGTTTCCCGACCGACCCTAAAAAAAACCGCCGACCCTAGCCTTATTTTTGTGTGGACCCCTGCATATTGCAGAACCAAAACATTTTGCACGACGCTACCGAGAGAATCGCTGTCATTGGTGGAACATCGGGCGCCCCGCTAGCGTTTTGAAGTCGTGTAAACAACGCTAATAATTTGTCTGATTTGTTTGTAAAACAAAGCCATCGACTCCGAAAATATTAAAAGCCGATACATTTACGAACTAATCGTAGAAAATTCCCTACCGTACTGCACCATCAGCATGCGGCGGCCGCAAAAATTCGGCAACGCGAAAGAAAAATGTCTGGTCCATGATAGCAGTATTTCTCATAAAAATAATGTATATGATTTATTTTTCCCCCTTTGTCGGTCTTTTAGTCCCAAAACGTCTAAAAAAGCGGAAATTTGCCCATAAAACCGGACGAGGAAAGGTAGCTATCGACGTAAACAAATTATAAGCACATGGCGAAAATCAGCAAAATCGGCAACGGGACAGAAAAATGCCTGGTCCATTTAGCGATATTTACCATGAAAATGTCGTCTGTGGTGTATTTTTCCTCTGATGGGAGTTTTTAGGTCGCAAAACCTCTAAAAAAGCAGAAATTTGCCCACGAAAACGGACTGGCAAGGCAGGGGGGAGGGCGCTGTTGACGCCTGCATGACCCCCAAAGGTTGAAGGTCATAGGGCACGTCCATTGCGCAATAACCTTAAATCGCCGATTTAGCTAATTTTTTGGGGTTTCAAATTGATACAATCACACTATCGATTTTTAGGCAAACAAAGGGATAGAAACCAATTAAAATTTTGTGCAGATTAATTTTTTTTTTCTTTAGAATTCTTTTTTGTTTCTTTTTTTTCTCCCAAATCCCTGGGAGAACCCTGAAAACCTGTAGACTTGAATCAGGACCTGAATCTGAATTTAGCCCTGCAAGGGCTAGGGACATCTGTTAAGTTCTTCGAGCTGATCGACCGTTTAAAGCTCCATGATCTGACACCTGAGTACCTGAGTGATGAAATATAATATTGCACAATCGATTTTTCATCATGTTCTGCTTATATAAACACAGCAATCAGCAAAGTCTAAAAAAAAAAATAAAAATAAAAATAAAATAAGATAATCCCTACCTACCGACCCTAATTTTTTCTGGACTGAAACAGGAAACACAACATTTTTTTTCCTTGGCCTTATCCAAAAAAATGCAACAACATCAATTCCAACGTCCGAATTTTGTATTCGAATTTTCAAAAGCAGTGCACGCGGTTAGGGCAAAACGCCATCGAATCGTTCTATAGAACATTTGGAAGGCTGGGCTGTACGCGTTAAGAACCCCCGGGCTGTACCGCTAGTTATCACACGGGCCAGAACACCCGTGTCGAACATAATCGCGGCCCAGGTATGAAATAAAACAAGCTGCAGTACCATACAAAACCACTAGACAACTCGTAATTGACCTTTACCTTTCCAATCCGATCCTACGTACCAAATATCATAAAATTACATGCACCATACCCCCCAGTTTTAACTAAAAATAACATAAAAACGGAGACAACAGCATTTTTCTGAAAATTTACACGAAAGTATACGTAGGCGGCGATTTTTGCCGGTTGCCGACTTGTTTTGAGAAGGCTGTGGGCAGTTGATATTTAAACAATGTCGAACTTCTAATCAAACCACTGCATTGATAGATGGAAAAACTGTAACAACTAGGAAGAAAAGGACTTTCCTCAACTGTTGGGGACAAAATGAGCATATTTGAGTACATTCAGAACCAGAATCTTTTTTTTTTTGCAAATCAGAAAAAAAATGAAGAGGTGAATCCGAGAACCAACAAATTAAATTGGTGTGGCCTAAGGTGCAAAAGTACATAATTTGATGTTAATTAGGCAAACAAGCATATAATTGGCATCATTAATGCAAAAAGTTCATAAATTACCTGCATTCAGGACATTAAAAAAAAAAGACGACCGAAAAATCTAAGGTCTCAGACCAGAGTATCTGGCGGATACCCTCAGGCAGAAGGGCTACACTTCCGCCAAGAAAAGTATGCCAGGAATTAACCTCTCCCCACTGCTACCTACATGTACATGTAACACAAGTATAAACATTACCAATTTTGCACCAAGCAGCTACGTTTAAAAGGCAGGGCTCGAAATTCATTTTTTGGGAAAAGGTGCACTGGTGCACCCAACCTAAAAAATTGCGTGCACAAAAAATATTTTAGGTGCACCATTATAGGGTAAAATAAGTAGAATGTGAGCAAAAACTATAATTATGTTTCATTTCAAGAAAAATACTATAACAATGATTGTATTATTTTTTCCAACATTTAGATGTTAAGAATAATGCTGTAACAACTATACATTCAACATCTTAACATAAGTTAAACCTCAAAAATATTTGGGTGCACCCACAGAAAAAAATTGGGTGCACAGCTCCAAATTTGGGGTATTCGGACTTAGCTGCCCTGCCCGGTCCACCTAAACCGCTGCCCGGTCCGGTCCGAGGCCGCTAATGGGGGTTTTGCGTATCCCATGCGCTGGAGCAAGCATTTCGCTTTTTCTGCGTGCGGTTGCGCTCCCTAGCGCTCCCTAGCGGAAAGCACCGGAAATGCAACAGTACACACAGTTCACCCAATAAAATCTACTCCTTGTCAGCATCAAGTGCGTCCCAATTATGTTTTTTTTTCACCAACTATTTACCCACTGTAGCGGCGCGGTGACTTCAAAAAGTTCGTAATTACGCACGCTTGTGTTGCGTGCGGCACCGCCGCCCCCCTCCCCAAGCTCCATGCCGCGGCACGCTATGCCGCTGCACGCCGCTAAATGTCCGGCGCCGCAGACGAGCTTACAGCGAAACCCGGCGTCTTCGCCCTAGGATTGGAGCGTGATGGAATCCATGACGCCCTCGAGAAAGTTCTACAGACACTGTAGCCTTTAACAGTAACGTTTAATCGTATTTTTTGCCGTAAAAGTTGACTCGCAATTTTCGAAAAACTTGTGACGCCATTTTTTTCACTCGGCGCTTGGTTCCCGAATTTTCGATTCGTCTTAGTCGTAGCACGCTATTAACGCTTTTACATTTTGTAGTACAAATGACGCTTAACATTTGATTGTATTTCTACCTAGATTTCTACCTCGAAATTAAGCAGATTTATGCCGCATTTCTCGTAGTTTGTAACTTGTTTGTGAAGTTGGCCGCCGGGCCGCCATTTTGTTTGTTGTTGTCTGCGCGCTTGGGCGACGATGAATTTTGTAACTCGTCTCATTTTTTTCGATATTGTCCCGTAGTAGCACAAAATGAACGGCTATCGTTTCTGTAGATTTATGAAGAAACTTCTAAATCGAAATATACGCTAAATATTTATAAATACCCAAGTGTAGATAAGCTGGGAAATTTCAAAGCGTCACTTCGTCACATGTGTTTGTGCATGTTCACAAGATTTTTTTTACTGTGGTTTGCTTAGCACTGCATAATTGTTAAAAATATGAACTACTTTATGTTTAATAAATATTTTATTTCTGGAAGCACATCAGTGTTTTGCTTGTTCCTATGTGAAGCACTAGTACTGTGCGTTGTGTGCATGTTGTAGTCAAGAAATGAAGCGTGATTGCGATCGTACCGTAACGAGCTTGGGGCAAGAGGGAGGGCGGCGGAAGTGGTAAAAAAAAGTTGCGATCATGAAAATTTAGCGGTGGAATAGTGACGCCAAAACCGCTATAATTAAGTGACCGTTATCAAATCAAGAATTACAGTAGATTTTATTGTGTGTACTGTTGCATTTCCGGTGCTTTCCGCTAGGGGGCGCAACCGCACTCAGAAAAAGAGAAATGCTTGGATACGCAAAACCCCCATTAGCGGCCTCGGACCGGACCGGGCAGCGGTTTAGGTGGACCGGGCAGGGCAGCTAAGTCCGAATACCCCCAAATTTGGGTGCACTAAGGTGCACATGCACCCAGTTTTTTCAGCCCTGAAACTAGTGAAAGGTGAACGAAGATGTCCTCTGGTCTGATCTAAAAATAATACAGAATTCCATTCTTGTGCTATGACAAGATCTTTGCAAGCTACTGTACGTAACTTAGTGCTAATCTGAGTAATCATATAGCCGTAAGTACACTGTAGCGGCTACTTCAAATTGGCTAATGGCTAGTTTTCATGTCTTAAGTAGCCATTAAGCATCCAAAAACCTCATTAGTAATTTTCAAATGGACTTCATTGAGAATAAAATATGATATGCAAATTGTAAGTTTTGGAGGGTTTTTTCTCTTTCAGATCTTACGTTTATAAATTATATCATGGATGATTAATTTTATAAAATCACAGGTTATGTAATTTTTGTTGCTCAACGGTTTCTATCCAAACTGGTATTAGATATGGCCATTTATGTCATATATAGCTGGGCTGCTATAATGTTTGATATAGGTGTTTCAGCCTGTGTGATACCTACCCATATCACATGGGTAGATATGAAATACACACACATACATTGTAGTATTCTATATATACCAGAACAGCCCAGTCTTGTTACTGTTAGAATGCAGCAACGTTGTTTTGCCTTCAGGGCTTGACATACCAACCTTCAACTTACAAGCTCTAACAAAAATTACCACTGAAGGTAAAAATAGGAACAACTCCAAGCTCTGTACATAGCATTATTTAGGCCACTTAAGTACTATATCTTAGGCAAAACCAATTTAATTTCTTGGTTAACAGATTCGCCCACTTCATTTTTTTTCTGATTTGCAAAAAAAAAAATTCGGAATGAACTGCAAAATGCTCATATTTTGCCCTGAACAGTTGAAAACAGTCATTTTCTTCCAAGTTGTTACAGTTATTCCATCTTTCAATGCAGTAGTATCATTAAAAGTTCAAAATTCATTGTTTAAATTTTGAACCAGCCTGGTGTGTTGACTTCATGGCTCCTATTGTAACATTTTGTGGCATAACAGGATGCCTAGGCCTGTTTTTTTATTATTTTTTTTTTGCCCGCCTGCTCCATTATTTTTCTAGAAAAATCTGTTAACCAAGAAATGAAATTGGTGTGGCCTTAGGGCTCAAAATAACATCTCGCAGAAGACTGTGGTACGTCCCACAGAACTTGATACATATGAGTAATACAACAAAATTTTGATAACTTTTTTTGGCCAAGAAAATGCTGAACAAATTACAATAGTACATTTTAGGTGGATAGTCCAATTTTGGGTGCACAAAAGTATTTTAAGTCCTGGTTTAGATTCCTAATGCTTGTTACTTTGCATTTCCACATCGATAATAGAAGCCCTCAACAGTCAAGTATGGGGAAAATGCATCGAAGTACTCCTAACGCTGTACTACTAGCTATTTTAGTAATAATAATCTATACGTATATAGATATCTATACTCTCTAGTACTCTACTTTTGGATCATACACATACTTTGATTTCTGACAATATAGTTAGTACATGTATAATACTATAAGACGGCAACAATACCGGTAGTTTAAATTAGAACATTACAACTCGATCTTTGTACAATAATTCTCACTGCCGGGACCAGTTACAGATGGAAAATTATACCACAGGATCACAATTTACTGTATAAGAATTTGGTACTGCATATTTTTACCTTCGGCAAGAAGGTTATGTTTTCAGAGGCGTTCGTGTACAGTGTATGTGTGTGTCCGTCCTTCTAGATGCACCACTAAAACTAAAAGTAGATCATTCTATCGAATGTCAATTTGCGGGACATCGCATGAAAAGTTGGGGATTTTTTGGGGGACATAGAAATGTGCAGAGTGGAAGTATCATGATCAGAGAGCAAGAAAGCAAATATATGATATAACTGTGAAGCATTGCAGTCAATGTATAGACATACAAGTTTTGATGGAAGCACTGGGTACTCCTATTATATTCAGGGCTTAAAATACTGGGTGCATGTGCACCTTAGTACACCCAAAATTAGAGCTGTGCACCCAATTTTTTTCTGTGGGTGCACTGGTGCATATTTTTGTAGTATACAGGCTTTTCTTGGCATCTAACTAAGATGATCTAAGTGTCAGAAAAATAATAAAACTTTGTTGTTGTACTTGCTTAAGATTTTGAAGTTAGCTCCCATTTCAGATTCAAGCGTAGTAGAGGAGCAGTAAGATCTGTAATTACTTATTAACGTTATATTTTGTTTTACATGGTGCACCCAAAAAAATTTTTTGTGCACCTACTTTTTTTGGTTGGGTGCACCAGTGCACCTATTCCCAAAAATGAATTTCGAACCCTGATATTGTATGAGAGATTTCTGGGCACATGACAATTTTTGGGAGGAAATGAATAGTCTATGTGGGCCCATAACTTACACATTTGTATGGCAAGTACAAGGTTGGAAATACCCACTCTCACACACCAGGTTGCCCAACTTACAGCTTCTGAAATAAACAGTGTCCCACTTTGGCCAGTATGTGATTGTGAGTGATACCTTTGCAGGTGGCCTGGCTTATGGCTTGCCCTCTAGTCTAAAATAAACAGCTGGCTTTGACCACAACCTGAAATATTGACAATGATAGACAACATACCTTTTGGCTTAGGTTGCCTACTGACCAACCCAAGACAAATAGTATTTCGAACCCTGCAAATTCCTGCATTGGTCGAAGCTATTTCTCAACCTCATTGGTCAAAGCTGACTAGATGTTACCCACAAAAAATATGCCCAGGTCTGATAGCAATATTTTTAGTAACTACAAAGTAACAAAATTATTGCTAGGAATAGTGCAAAATCATTATCACCAAGATTTGTTTAAAAAAATTATTGACAAAGAAAAAAATCAACTTTGTTATTTGGCAAGTTAATTAAAGAATACAGGCACAATATTTAATATCATTATGCTGAAATATAGTACTTCAAGCACCGTGACATACCAGCACTGCTAAATAACAAACAAAACTCTTACTGAAATTGACATGACCTGTGTTTGAAACTGACCCACCTTCAATCAATTTCTATTAGTTCTCAGCAGGGGGAAAAACAACACTAAACCTGGTTGGCATGCTTTTAATTAGATTATGTCTCCATGAGCCAATCCGAGATGGCTTTACTTTTCCAGTTGTACATTTCCACGTTTTAAATACAGTCAGGTAAAACTACGGGAAGTTGATGGGGGCAAGTGGTGGTTTACAAAGGGGGAGGGGGGCGGGGGTCATGACATGAGAAATAGTTTCTCCAGGTTTCACCTTGAAGACTGTGAAGGTGTTTATTGAAGGTATTGCTCTTAGTAAACAAACAAAAGTGGAATAATTCTGTTGTAAGTTAGGATGTCTTTGTGCCGATGTACTCCGAAGTTTGTGGGTTATTTTTGGCAGTGTGAAAATGTCTCACCTGAATCGTTTTCTGGTGGCTGGCAGCTGGCATCGCTGTAACTCTTGCTCCAAGTGTCGGGAGTCAAACTTGGGGTCCCACCAGGAACCAGAGGCTCTCTCAAACAGGAGTAACCGCCTCCGCACTCCGGCTCGGGACCCCCGCCTGCTGCTGCTCCCATCGCCGTTCACGGTGTAGTCACTACCGCGGTTGTTGTGGCGGGGCGTGCCGAGGGTGATGCGGACGGACTCCGGGCTATCCGGAGTGGAGTTGGGCCTGTACCTGCACGACTCGCCTTCCATTGAAACCACCGCGTCCAACAAAACTAGTTCTCAACTTCCAGTCTCCAACACTACAAGTGTACTGAAGTACTAACCAGTTAGACAAGTTGCCATGAAAGCGTTGTCCCAAGTCGTACCACGTTTGGCCTAATAAGAATGTTTGTGCTGAGTTTTGTGGATCAAACTTTGCTGCCCTCCCCCTTAAGGCTTGCTCGAACCCACCTCAATCCGATCTCCGCCCCCGTCTTTAAGAACAGCCCGCCTCTTTAAGGAACCTCACTGCCTTTCTGGGGACAACTTCGTTAGCTTCTTCATCGTCTCACACGGTTCCAGGCCCACAGCACGTCGCCATGTCACTCCAAAGGCGGTCCAAACGACAGAGGAAGTGGCCACAGTTGGGATTCGATCCTGTGCAGTTATTTATGATCCGGCCCCATAGGCGGGTGGATCTAGTGCTCGTCCCCCCGCTGGAGGCGAGTGGGTGGTGTTTACATGTGGATAAGATTGAAGCGCCACCTTGCGTCCATGTGCATACTGCATGTTTACCTCAAAGCAGATACAGGATCCTGTGCTTGCTTTTTTCGCGTACCAACAAGTAGACGAAGAGAGAAGAATACGCACCACCAAACGTCCAGGTGTACGCACACACACACAGATCCATACACCAGACAACTTAGCGCACGTGCGCATTGTCACGCTAGTCCACCATCAATAGTTATGGGTTGTCAAATATGATTTGTAGATCAGGAAAGGAAAGAAAAGAACAGCCAAGGTCGCACTATTGATCTTACTCCTCTAACAGCTTGCACAACGCTGTATACGTAAAACTAGTACACCTCTGTGTTGGTTTGTGTTTGTTTGTATGTTTGTTTGTTTGTCTTACATATTAATGGCATTGTTTGCATTTTAGAAAAGGTGGGACATTACGTCTTCCGTGGTTTACAAAAGAGATGTCAAACCCTTCAGACATAGTTTTAGACATAGCTATCTATAGTTTTAGACAATTACCTTTCATTATGCAGATTTTGAAGTTACTCTGTACTCTGTTTCAATGTTCTTTTATCTTTGCCATTTGCAATAAACAGTATCTCATTTTCAAAAATCAATGTGCGCGCGGATGCCATTCATAGAATTTACAATATTTAGCAATTTCATGTTCAATACTCTAAAAATATGAAATAAACTAGAAAAGTAACATTTGCAAAGCAAATGCATAATGTTTACCTTCGCATATGGTCTGCTCTCTTATTTCGTACTCAAACACATTCATATATATGGTCGGACCGGAGTCTAAATCCCTCCTGCTATAAAATTGCAACATGATGTAACTCAACACTAGTTACCCTGGTAACAGACAGTCTGGTTCATGTCATTGACCTTTTTGGTTTGGAGATGAAGAAGAAACGTGGCAAAAACAATATATTTTCCTTCGTCTAACCATGGAGTTAATTGTTGTTTTTCTACCTCCATGGTTGAAGGCATCCAATGCAGTTTTAGGGATATATTGGAAACCAGATATTTCAAATTCGATATTCTAGTCACTTATGTACATGTACATACTAAGTTGAGGGTTGAAGTTGAAAGAGCACTATCCCAATGTATTTGCATACAAGAAGCAAAAATTCCCAAAAATTGTGACGAAAACAGTTACCGGGTGAAAGATGACTTTTAAGGCACCACACAGAAAATAACGGGCTCATCTTGGGACTTGTTTCTGCAGTTTTTATTGCCCAAAGTATGAAATTGTATTGCACTGTCATTGGGTGGTGAATATGGCCAACTGACATAATCCATTGTGGAAATGAAATGCGGATCTTATTTTCATAACCAATGAGAAAAATGTATATATTCGTCAGTTATATTGGTTAACATTATTTGGCGAAGGTATCAGGTCGTGGAACTCTTCTTACCATGGTGACAGCCGTCTGGTCTAGGTTTGGAATGAAAGAAGAAACTGAACTTGGAAAAATCATGTGATAAGTAAACGCCGAATACACTTGAGCTTCGAAAAAAACGAATCAAAGAATAAACATATACACAGTACCTGCCTGTATCATTGACATAGAAACTTCGGAAAGTAAGTGAAAAGATGGCTGAAACCCAACAATCAAATAAAATAAAATAATACAGATCGAACAATTTGACCGGTACAATAGTGGCAAGACTGCCGCAAGAGCATTCGCCTTGTATTTGATAGGTCGTAAGTTCGATCTCTTGAGTTGAAGAACAATCTAATTATCATTTTTCCTACGACTTTGCTCAATGCAATGCCATTGCAAGGCCGAAAGACCACTACTGACCAGGCACTGAGGCGTATTTTCTGAACGTAAGGCCACAGCAGGTAATTTTTATGGATGACATTAGTCTAGCGCGCGCATTAATTTTCGCCTGATTTTGAAAAAAAATGTTGCCTTCTGACAGTGGTCAACGTGCCGAAAATGGGCAAAAATGTCTGTTGCCATGCCGGAAGGTGGATGACAGATAACTATGAAGAGAGGAGACAAGAAAAGGCTCTGATTTAATGTTTTGTTTCCTACTTTGATGCAGTGATACATGTATGTGATGTTGGCTGTGTATATGTGATGTTCTCACTGAATCAAAACTATTTGTACAATGATTGAGTCAAAATTTTAAAATGTAGGAACCTTGTTTTTTTTCGGCCCGCCTTGTTTTTTTTTCGCACGCTCACATTAGATTTGGAGTCTGCGGAGGATGTCATCCATAAAATTTACATGCTGTGGCCTAAGTCTGTAGGAGGTGAGATGGCGGTGAACTAGTCCTTACCCTTTTGCCTCTAGTGTTGGGTTTCGGTAGTAGAATCTACTAAAGAGGCTATTATGACATTCTCTTCTATATATAATATAATGTTTCCGTTTTAATATCATGCCGTAAGTTTAAACTGCAATTTCCAACACAAATAATTAACTCCAGTCTTTCAAGGAATAAGGAATCCACTGCTTCCGTGACGTCACGTTAATATTGAATTTCTTTATATTATTTACCTTTTTATTACAACGATCCGTGATGCTCTTATATCAATTTTGTAGATCTAGGGTGGAGATGGTCTATAAAATCAAGATTCACGTGTAGCTAATTTTCAATTCCTATAGAAAATAGGACGACCCTGACCTTAGCAATATGCTAGGAAAGGCCCGGGGTGGGTAGGGTTTGATAGTTTTACAGAGGGTTTGATAGTTTTACAGAAAATTGTACATCATGCTGGAGATCTGAAGAATAGATGCCGTGTCTTACAGTCATGTTTTTGGTAACTCGGTATTCTTTTCCAACTGAGTACTGCATGTCCATAGTTGGTCCCACGTTGTACCAAGGGGAGTACTACCAGCAGGTAGAACAGCCGGGTAAACCTCGTTGGTACCTGCGAAATTACACTACACTGTGATATTGTGTTATGGAGCCAAAAATAGCAACCAATGGGAATTAGCCTCGGGGATGGGCCAACGCTTGGCGGATAACGTCACACAAGGAGATAAAATCAGGAACACAAACATCAAAATTGCAGAAGCCAGGACAGTGACGTGTAGACAACATCTGCTGTAGCCTTGGTTTTGATTTCTCGGTGGCACGGAAAATTAAAAAAAATATATTTGTTGACTAAATATCTTACACATATTCAAGTCACATGTAATTATATCAATTATTACAGGCAACGTGCGAACCACGTTGTTGCATTGTACTTGCGTTACAGGCTGTACACCTTGATGCCGCAGACGAAACGTTGTATCCACGTTACAAAGCAACGGGCAGCTGGATTGGTGCACTGCAACAGTGCAAGGAGTCTTCCTACATGTGACATTACCATGATGATAATTGGCTAATTTCGGGAAAGCGTCGGACAGCGGTTATTAAACCTACGCATACTAGTACCACCCCCACCCCCTCATAATAGACTCCTGAAGACTGGTTACGTTGTGTTTATAGCCGTCTCGTAGCAATGAGCTATTTTAAGAACATAGCCCCTGCGTTGTTTGTCTTTGTACTATTATTAGCGCCGCCTAACGATTGTTATCACCGCTCGGCCAAAGCCACTTAGCAAGATTATGTTTTCAACAGCGGTGCGTGGTTCGATAATGATTAGTTTCTTTGCTTTGTACCAGGTAACGGTCTGGGTAAGGGATATCTTTAAAGGCATTCAATGCAATTTCAGGACAGCAAAACTGGAAATATTCTGAACATACTGCCCCGCATAGCACATTTGTATAAGTATTTCATACTTTGACTCTGTATTAAAACAGCACAGAAACAAGCCCCAAGACGAATCCTTTACTTTCTGGGTGGTACCCTAAAATCAGCCCAGGACAATGTTAATGAACGAATGAAAGACCTCTATTGTACATTTTTGCTCATTGCGAACTAAGTACAGGTTAATAGCGACGGTAAACTAAAATATATCTATAGTAAAACTACACATGTACAGGTTCTGCTTGTAGTAACGGTTTTCCGTCACAAGTTTCGGCAATTGAATGTCGATGAATGTCGATACCAGTGACATTAGGATAGTCAAGTTGTTTTCCACTAGTTTGTAGATAAGTGACTAGAATGTTGACTTTGAAAACTCTTGTTTTCATGCCGTAAAAACTGCATTTAGCACCTTTACATACCACTCACACAATGCAAAAATAGGTAAATATAAAAGAAGCCTGCTCTGTTATTGGAAAAACGCAAACACATTATTAGCAACACTTGATTGTAACACTGCATCAAAGACTTATGCTACATGCAGGTCTTATTGTTTTAGTAATTAGGAATTCCTATTAAGTACAATGTTCAACAGCTGTTTGCATGCAATATATTTTATTCAAAGAAGTCGCCAAGTTTTTCATATCTCAACCAACAACAAAAGACTATATCATTGCTAAAGTGTCCAAACCCATTTATTTTTCAAAGAGTCGGACAATTCATCTCCCACTGCCTCCTGAGAAGAAGTCAAACCCCTAATAGCATAACAAGAATAGTTTAATAGAATAGAATAGATTAGAATAGCAGTTACCTTGTTCCTCTTACCTGTTCATATATTGCATATCTACTGTTTATCCTGTATGTATACCAACGTTATTAGATTTAATTAGAGATAGTAGGTTTGATAAGTATATCGTACACGTAGAACTTCATGTTAGCAAATTGTCTTATATCACCACATTTTTCTTGTCAATGTCTGTTTGCAATTAGCCCTCGGGCATGAATTTGCAATAAACAACTAACTATTATACTATGTACGATTTTGTACAAATAAGTTCTTCTTAATGTCTGTTATCGGTATGATTTTTAAACTGATTTTCCTGCAGCTCAAAAGGCATCTCAGTCTATTCAAACTGCACATCATATTATGTCAAGAAAGTAATTTTTTTCTTTATTTGAAAATGAAAAAAATCTCCATAAAATCATTTTAAAGAATTGTATCTAAAAGAAAAAGACTCGCGCGGTATACATTGTACACACATTCATTTCGCTTGGATAAAATAAATCCCACAAAATGTCACTGGAAGCAGTTGAACAGTTAAATAGATATCTGTTATCACGATAGGAAATATGAAAATAAAGAAAAGACAAAAAAGACTGGTTTGTTTAATATATCATCTAAGTATAATTATTTTTCTTGAAAAAGAATCCATAAACTGATTAAGTAGAGTCATTTCTAAGATGTTTAAAATTGTGAAGAACAATATAACACTGACATGGGAGTTTGCACATTGGACAAATGAATGAATGAACTTTATTGCTCGACAAGCGTACATGGTACAATGTGTGGCAGTAATGCAACAATACTACAAAACTAAACTATCTTATTACATTTCTTACTACAAACTATTATCTATACAGAATATGAGTTACAGTATGGTCATGTATTGATAATTTGGTCTCGCTTATGAAATAAAGTGTACAGAAATTGGCCTACGTAAGCAGATATGGTAGTTGGACATGACAATAATTCATGGAATGTATCGTACTGTGTGAGAAAACCTGCTATGCACACCCACACAAATTAAGGTACAAAAACTACAAAACCAGAAAACCAGTGTCCCTGTTGGCTGCCCTCAGTCTTCTGAAACATCTTTGTACAGGTTTCCTCACATCTGTATAAAGGGTACTTACCCCTCTCCCTATTACCCCCCCCCCATATAGTCACTGCCTGATACGTTTGTGATTATGTTAGACACCCAGGCAATATAATCATGTTTTAGCAGAGATTCTTTATTGACACAACAAAAAAGTACAGAGACTTTTGTATGGTCTTCTACAACTAAAGATCTAACAAAGCTAAATACGTGTACATGTGTGATAACGTCATCTTACGTACAGAGTATATGTATGATGTAACAATAAAGGTTAACTATTCTCTAACATTTGGCTTCTAAGAATGAAACATTCTTTAATGTATTTTCCTATTTGAACACTGTTTAGTTAAATCTATACATCTGGATACATTTTGGAAATTCAGACGTTAATTAATTAACATTTCAGACACCATCAGTGAAATATTAAAATAGAATGTTCACTTACAATTTTGTTATTGGAAAACAGAACAACACTGTGAACTTATACACATGTATTGATGTAATATAGATAAACAAATAATAGTTGATGATAGCTAACACCAGGAATGGACGAAAGTAATCGATGAAAACAAACGCGCAATTCATGGAGAAAGGAAGAAATCCTACCTCTTTAGTACGTAAGTAGACCATGTCATGTTTATGTTGGCATCTTTTCTCTTTTTCCATGTCTTCACATTTGTACATATATGTATTGTTAATTTGAAATGAAATAGCAAAAAATTTAAAAAAATTAATTAAAAAAAGATAAGAAGACATTTGTTGGTGGGGTAGCAGATCTTGGAAAGCGGACCAATAAAGCTAACAAGGCTGGACTCCAGGCTGGGTAGAGAGCCGAATGAAGGCAGTTTGGGATGGAAGCATTCATTAGACCGATAACCTTGTTGCAGTGACTGGAATAAAAAAAACTTGCCAAAGTCAAGATTTGACGAACCTTTTCAAGTAGTGTTTGTTTTTTTGTGCTAGATATCAACGAAAGCTATTGTACAGGAATGAGTTATAGTTTCTATCCGTGTACTTTTCGGGACTTCTCAAGTGACAGCCAACAGAAAATGGACCACACACGTATTTTGAAACAAGGCAACCTACTAGTACCTATATAAACGTTACTACAAGCAGATGTACATGTTGAGGTGAAGGATCTTTATGTTTCCTAAGTTATAGTCGGACTTTTCTGACAGTCTATTACCACACAAAAGCAGAACAATTCTTACAGGAAGACGGATGCCGTTTAGGCCATAGCATGTAAATTTTACGGATGACATCCTTCGCAGAATCCAGATCTAATGCGAGCGGGCGAAAAAAAACAAGGCGCCCCCCCCCAAAAAAAAACAAGGTTCCTTACATTTTCAAATTTTAACATCATGAATATTGTTGAACAAGAAATGATACCTATTGTACTATGTTTACTGCCAACTATTACAACATCCATTTCTCAATGAAACAACTTAAAACAGCAATAAAAGTTCAGTGGGAACATCACATATACACAGCCAGCATCACATATATAAAGAATGAAATGTATCACTGTCTCGTCCATATTTATCTGCGCATGCCATCCACGTTTTGGCATGGCAACAGACATCTTTGTCCATTTTCGACATTTTGACCACAGTCAGAGAACAACTAAATTTCTAGTTTTTTTTCCAAAATCAATGCGCGATAGTGTCATCTATAAAAAATTACTTGCAGTGGCCTTATTCCCCTGGACTGATAATACCGCATTACTAAACACTTCACCGGCTTTGTATACGATTCCCATCACAACACAAAACAGTCAGGTTCAACGTTCTTTGCCTGGCGAATGTCAGGTGATTCCATTGTACCTGAGTCTGTTTTTTTTCCGCATTTCCTGTCACTGGAGGTCAGTCACCCTGCATGTCTAGCCTTGAGGCCATACACCAACCACGCGTCAATGCCTCAGTTTAGTTTAGTTTCAGTTTATTTCGCACTTTAAAACAAAATACAAAAAATACACTTTAAAAACAATACAAATACAAGAAAATATAAATGAAATGTAACAGTGCAGGGAGGCCGGAAGCATAAAATGCTTATGAGGAGGCCTCCCTTCATAACGTGATTTTAAAACAATTCAAATAAATCGGATAAATAAGAAATAAGTTAGGTAACGGGTAAATTAAACAAAACAATAAAATACAATACGATACAATACTATCTACAATGATGAAAAGTAGTAATGAAAGTAGTAAACAAGGAAACATAAACAAAAATTAGGAATGTGTGGGGTTATTCATGAAAGCTACTTTAGTATGATTTTTGAAAATGGTGAGGGAGGGACTAAAATGAAACGTTCTTCATTCAGCATTTCCATTCCTGATATGAACTTAAGGCACCATGTCTTTATTAATTAAGTTTCGTAAACGTGTGTTATTGTCTCAATTGCAGCCCTACATATCCACATGGCCATGTACATATATGTACGTATTAAAAGAATATAATGGCTGCGTGTTGGCATGGGGCGTGCCTGTGGCACACGATGGCCTTTCTCAACAAAAGGTTTTTATTTTGTACATTTTGGTGTTACCTAGCAAAGATGACACATAAGAAAATGTAGACTTCTTTTGCGAGCCGTATTGACATTCTATTCACTATTTGTATGTACCAACAACACACAGATATTCTAATGTTGACTTTTAGATCAAGTTTATTTCAGAAGCATCATATCATCTACTGTTTTTTTGATCATCGAGGAGGTTACCTCTAAACTTTTCAAAAGCAGTTATTGAAGTGAGTGTGACAGTGTAAGCAACTTCTTCTATATATCGCCGCATTTGATCAGTGCTGTCACACCAACGTGGTCACACACACATGTACACTGACAACTCCATGATAGAGACCAAGAAAGGTCACAGGTGACGGCTCGGAAGGAGAGGTTGTACTTTACAATGTACATGTACAGCCACTGCACCAAATGACGCGGATTCTAGAAAATCCTGAAGATCCGGAATCGCAACAAATAAAGTTATCGTCACCTTCCAAAGACTGTCCACTATTTTCTTCATTTTTGCTTTGTTCTCCGCTCTCGCTCTGCGTCCTCTTCATCCTTGATTTCGGAGTAGAAGAGGGTCGAAGGGTCATAGACATTGACATTATCTATTTCACAGTAGCTGTGAGTGGAGAGTGTTGAAAAATGACGACAGGTGATTTGTTCTTTTATGGACGTCGTTCCTCGGATAGGACGTTAAATGGAGGTCCCGTGTTTGGGGAGAAATACACTATGTGTGGTTTATTTATGGGAAAACCCAGACTAATATCTGCCCGTTACATAAAGTTAGCCTGTCTCGAAATTATGATATTTTTTCCAACAGAAACTATTAGATATTTTTGCAAATCATTGTCTTTATTCTTTTTGAAGGTCGGACGCAGTTTTATCGTATTTCAAAGCCAAGAAGAGAGTTTAGACACACAAATTCTAATCAAATCACAGAAAGTCTTATACAAATACTAGTACTATCTCCTTGATTCCACTGCTCATTATGATGTCAAAAACTCGGACACCAAGACTTGCTGGTACTAGTATTTACATCGCAGAAAATATAGGCATTACTTACAAAGGAATGAAATACATGAATAGACTGGGAAACACATATGTTTGCGTAACATACTGCTGAAAAGTAAATATCAAATTCGAAACCACAACGATTTCAGTCTCGCCACACTATTGGATATCTTTTAAGACCTAACAACTTTTCTACCTGGACGATACAGTCGATCACAAACTTGTTTCACTAGTAGTGACAGCATATAACACCGGGTAGCTGCAACTTAACTCCGAATAAGTTGCCACAAATTACGCATAGAAACGGGAAGGCACAACCGCATTCCTCTCCAGAACAGACTCTGTCAATACTGTAACATTAGACTGTACTTTATATTCTGATGAAAGATGTGCTTTTTAATCATATCAAAGAGAAGTTCCCAAACTTCGCACACCTAAATGCAAACTATAAATTTACATTTTTGATGCGTCTAGACAAACCCTGTATCACAAACATGATCTGTTCCCATTGTACAAAAAAGCGAGAAGAAGTTGACCACTCTGTATTAGCTCAGTAACTAGAACACTTTGTATTAGCCTAGTATAGTACCCTTGTATGTTCCTTACGTATGTATGTCTAAGTCAAGTAGTGTATCTTTTGTCTCCACTTTTCTATATACGTTTGTTATGCGTTGACATGTACCTAGCCCGTCGTGGCATGAATGTACAATAAAGGTCTTTCATCATCATCATCATTATTGTCAGGTTGATGAATAAGTGCAAAACATTAAATGGTTAGTAAAAAAATCTTTCCGTACTGTTGCCACACACACACAGGGACTCGTTATATTTGTAATTGCGAATACCAAACGTAGCCGCTCTGACACCTAACGGTATACTTGTGATTGCAGTCAGGGGGCTGGTTATGGTTCCGTCCGTCTTCGCCGACGTCCCAAACCACCGAAGAGCGCTCCTCCGTCCACACGGCACCGACAGGAGTCTTCGTCAAGCCTAAACCCAGCGGAGCACTGACGGTTACAGAGGTTGTCTGACACGGCACTGACACTGCACCTGCAAGAACGGGATGTCAACAGAGTGTTATACACAGCAGACACGCCAGAGGTCGCTGGCGTTCGGAACACCTGTTATGATACTGCTAGAGACATACACAGTCGACGTCATTGAACCGGTACCTGTGGAATCTCTTGACGGCATGGTTAGCTTTTAAAATTTCATCGATAAATTGCATTTTGTATACTAGTATACTGTATGTTTCATCATGTAAATATGTTTTGAAGGGTATTTATAGTGCAAAAAACAACGTTAGTTAGCAAGAACTGTGTGACTGTCTGTTCATAACAATGGCTCTTTGCTCTGTTGTAGGAACATAAACCTAACTTCAACTTTAAATCAGAAAGTAGCCTAGGCTGAAAACTGCAGCTGATAGCGATCAAATTTGCCTTGTGAATCGGTTTGAATTTTTTTAAAAGGACATTTTTTTCACCAATAATTTAAATGGTTTGATTGAAAAAAATTCTATGCGACTGTAGATTTTTTTCCAAAATATTTGTGCAATTATGACATATTTCTGACATTTTTGGTTAGGGCTGCATAAAAGTCTACACGAGGCGTACTCAGTTTGTGACACCACCACAAAGTACCAGAATGTAAACAAACATGGCTTTTCTAGCTTTTAAACACACTCGTAAGGTGTAATATTTTGGCACCTCCACTTCCTTAATGGTACTTGCAATGGTGTAGGGTTGATTCAACTTACTTTGTAAAGAAATGACCAGAAAAGTGACTTCTTGTATCGTCCGAATGTTACATACAAGGTCATACAAGTACATAAGGTAGATTTAAAGACCAAATGACACAAAAAAAGTCCGTAAAATACATACAAATATCGGAAGTGTACATACAATATAGTCACTAGTAAGTTTGTTCCAATCATGGTGCACAGCCTTACTAAAAGTGAACACTCTCCAGCAACGCTCCCCAATCCTACCCTATTTTGCATATCTACAATTTATTTTTGCATTTCTGTGCTTTTTCCGGAGCTCACATCACTGGGTGACGTCAACTACAAGGAAAAAATACGGACATGACAAAATAAAATGTAGAGATGCAAATTGTCTGCCAGGACTAGCTTGTACTGACTTTTCCAAGGCAGGGCGTTAGAATTTTGAAAGTACTAGTAACAGGAGAACCGTGCATAAATGTGTCTGTTAGCTAGATAATACTCAGGAAAAGGATGCCAACAACTCAGGTTATGTCAATTACAATAATCTAACGTCATATTTTGGTGTCATGGGCACTTTAACGTGCTACGTAGTACGTATACCCACCCTCCACGAACACGGCACACACACTCGCACGTGTTGTCGTCGAAAAAATGGGTTCTCAGGTCACAGAGGCGTTTATTCTTGCAGACGCATGCGCACTCATCGTGACGTTCAACGTGCACTTGGTCGAAGGCGGTGTTGAAAGGCTGCGAGTTCGGGTTTCCTGGGGCATAGAACAGCTTCAAAATCTGCCGGATTGTGAGAGGTATAAAAAATCTATTAGTGCCAGACTTGTATGGTTGCAACAATGCTGTCTAAAGCCCCTGCCGCTGTCACACATTCACCTGCAGGCTCCGGGGCGGGTGGGAATTTTGATACAGCGTTTTGAAGAGTTTTTAACTTGTTCTTTTAATAGCCGGCCATCCTACAACCAGCCGCCGAAATAGCCTCCATAGCATGCCAAAAACTGGTCTTTAGGAGCTATTTTCTGATTGCATATAGACAACATAGCAAACCCCAAACCCCGAAGACCACCAAACCCCCAGTTCTATAAGTCTGCTTCGGAGGCTACCGCCGAGAGAAGGATCAAATTTGACTAAAATTTAACTCAAATTCGAACCTTGGTTGGTTGGTGTTCGGGGGAAGGCTATGAAAGTGTGACAGAGAGTTAACTGTATTGACGTTATGTTGTATTGCTTACCGAAGACACTTGTGAACTCGACCTGGTGGCTTGGCACTCGTACAAGTCGCTGTTACAACAGCCTCCACACCGGGCCACGGAGACACAGGACGGCCACAGGACCACGTTAGGCTCGGCGTCCACCGGCACTGGCACCGGCACCTCCCGGGGGATGCACGGCGGGGGGCCCGTCAGCGAGAACCGGTCATCCGCGGCGGAGAAGATGTCCAAGTTGAAGGTTGTCTTCAGCTCCTCATAGCTGGTGACGTTGCGCAGCAGCTGTCGGATGTGTAGGGGTATTTCAGGCACTACGGGGCGGTCCTCGTGGGAAGACGCCCTCTGTGTGGAGGATTTAAAGATTTTGCATCAATAAATGCTGTTCTGTTCTGTCTGATGATTTTATCATCATGATGATTGTATGGATGATGTCAACAGAGGGATGCCAACATAATTGGCCACGTCGGTGCGTTATTTGTTTGTGGACAGCATAACTCGAGAAGATGCGGTTCACAGACTAATTGTTTGAGTCGTCATAAAGATAAAAGATACTGTCTAGTGCATGTGTATTACACTGAAGTTCTGGATTAGGTGGAAACTTTACCATGAACTATTTAGTAAAAACAATGAAAAATACAAATTTTGATAACATACACTCAACGATTCATGGCTTGGTCAGAAGATGGTTCCAAGATGGCCGTCACATGACGTCACAGATGAACATGGCGGCGCCCATTGACCCAAGGGTCTAAAAGACAACAGTTTAGAAAACAGACTCTTACACACTCCTCTTACCTGAGTTGCACCGAGCACTACCAGAAGACTGGAGAGGCCGAGGGAGATGTACATCGACATGCTGCTAGTTGAACACTTCTTAATTGGTCGATACCACAGACTGGAAACATACAATACAAAAAGACTCAGTAGGCATATTCTAATAATAATCATAATAATAATAATAAGGTTATTGCTCAACTATTGTGTCTGATACAACGTATAGCCGATTGTACTTTAAAAACTAAACGACCTTGCCAAATGATGTTAACCCTTCCGGTGGACGAATTATACATTTTTACACCTGTCGGCTTTTGTTTTGGTGTATTTGTTTTTGTGTGCTTCGTGTTTCCGTATACGTAGTTATTAACTTATTTCCACATGTAAAGCACGTCAGGGACACTGACAGGACGTCAGGTCAAAGGTCTCATAAAGAACACACAAAAGGTTATTTCATTTCCTGTTTTCATGTTCTTGGACTCGATATTGTGCCAATGATTCCTGCTATATGCATTCCTGTTGTCTTGTCTGGGCCAGTGGGAAAACGCATTGACTGTGATGAATCCACAATGAGGAATAAAACAGGCTAATTCACAAAAATTCTTAATATTTCGCGGAGGTATGAAATTTTCGACTTCTTGTTGTCTGTTTTCTTGTTCGTATTCTGCAGTTGTCACGACCCAACTGGGGCGAAGATTTTTCCAATGACGTCATTGCCAGATGTGCTGGCGCGTAACTCAACCATTACGTCATCTCTATTCCAACTTCCGGCACCCCTCGTGAGGGACGGTTCATTTTAGTTTGTTACTGTTAGGTAGGATGAGCGAACTGGGACAGGCGGGCTTCACGTTTTGTGGTATTCAGATATTCACAATAAAAATACGGGGTCATTGTGGAAGAAGCGACAATTACTTGGAGATATCAAATGAAAAATAATTGACCGAGGAAAACCTGAATGATGGTTATCCGCGTTGGGTCATGAAAGAAAAAAACAACAACATCCACTTCCTCCTTCCACAATCTTTCTTAGCCGTCTCGTAGGTCAGTAGTTGGCAAATTTCGTGACACGTTCAGAGACATAGCCAGAGAGACGGCAAATAAAATATTACGTGCAGACATGAACGGAGCCGGAAAAAAACTTATTAAGGAAAAGCTAAAATGTCTGATATCTAGGGTAGCGACAATATGTTTAGAAAAAATATTGTATACAGAAATAAAGAAGTTGACAGAAAGAATGCCATTTTGATCGTCCTTTGTTGGCTTTGTTGACTATATTTTCTATGAGAAATAATTAAATGCATAGTACTCGCCAGAAATTTAACGCCAAGTTTAGCAACAATGAGTGACTTAACAAGTATAATAAGCATGACTCACCGACAGCTATTTTCTTCAGTTTTGGCGAAGGGTCACAATTCTAGGCACAACCAGTCTCGCTGTCCACTGTATTAAAATGTGCCGCCTTGGCTTGGACCGGCTATTTATACGAGACAACCGCACCGGAAGTGAAGAAACCCCGTCCTTGTTTCTCGGAAGAGTCACCTGTTTTTTTTTAGTGAGGCGACAATTGGCGCAGGTCCTGACATGATCTCAGCACGCAAACGTGTCAGTGACCACAGAGTTCCCGTTTGCCATTTCCTCGTTGATTGTGTCTGTTCTATTAATTCTTGGATTTAATCCTAAAGCTTCTTTTTCAAGTTGTTTCCTTCCCTCTACTGACGATGGTACCGGATGGTGTGTGATGTGTTGGGCTATGGGAGGGCCTGTATGGAGGGGGAGGGGGGGAGGGTACCGACAACGCTCTACGCTAAATGCTGATGATGGTCGGCTACCTCTCTACGCTTTACGCTAAATCCGAAAGTTTCCCAGCGCATTATGCGAAACTCGAGCACCCACCGACTGAACGTTTGCGTCAAAATATGGTGATTTATGATGACATGTAGAGGTGACAAAACTTGAGTCAACGTACTCATACTACCCTGTTCCGTAGAGCGTAATCGGCCGTTTTAATTCTACGTAGAGCGTAGTCGGGCCGCACGGCCCAAGCATCAAGAAGTGAAAGAAAAGTGCAGGCCGGCCTCTATTCTCAGTCAAATCATGAATGAAAAACCTTTATTGTACGTTTGTGCTCTAACAAGCTAAGTACAGGTCATGAATAGACAAGGAAAAGGATACAGCAATAGCACTTAAACTCTGCATACTATTCTACTATTTACATGTTCAATTTCTTCTCGCTTCTTGACGCAGTTATAGTCATATATGTGTACGAGAATGTATAATGGAGCTCCTTGGACCATGTGGTAGCAGAGGCGGTGGGAGAAAATCTTGAATGGGGGGGGGGCATATTTTTATGGAACAATTTTCCATTTTTCCCCTATCGAGCGCCAAAGGTGCGAGCCGTCGCCCCTCAGGCGCGGCGAACTTAGGGGGGTCCTAGCCTCCGTTTGTTGTTGGAGCGCGAATCCTTCTCTCCGCGGCAAAAACTCCCTCGGCAGCAAATCGTCCCTCGCGGCCGCATATTACTCGCGTCGCTCACAGGAGGCTAGGGGGATCCGGGTGTATCCTCTGAAACGCGTTTTCCTGCATTTTAGGGGGACAATTTTGCTGGTACACAAAGCTAAGTTTTGAGTACTTTCTAGCTATTCGTGCTATTCGTGTACATCGCGTCCACGAACTTCTTCCACTTCTTCCACATGCTATTTATCTGAATTGACAGAAGGAGGGATCCGGGAGGATATGCTCCCCGGGGAAATTTTGAAATCTTGACCCGCCGAAACACCATTTCCTGCATTTTGGGGACGCGTTTTTCTGGCAGTGGCGGCCCAAAACGTTAGCCTGGTATCCAGCCTTGTTAGCTTTAGTCCGCTACCCAAGATCCGCTCCCCGCCCAGTCTTGTTGGCGGGGAGCGGATCTTGGGTAGCGGACTAACGCTAACAAGGCTGGATACCAGGCTACAAAACGTGGCTTCCTACACAGCGTTTTATGGTAATTTCCGGGTAGCTACAACGCATTACGTTGAATCCAGAAGGTTTAATACAAAGACTTGATTATTTAGCACATTTCTTTAGTTAGTATTGGAACAAGTGGGTAAAACACGTGTTAAGAGAAAAAGTGGTGCTAATGCGTAGTCAGTGTACTTTTACTCTTAACTAAGAGGTTCTGTGAAGTCTCTTCTTAGTGAAAACATGAGTTAGCGGGGTGTTAACTCATTTTTTCACTAGTAAGAGGTTCTATGAAGTCTCTTCTGAGTGAAAAAAATGAGTTAGCGGGGTGTTAACTCATTTCACTAGTAAGAGGTTCTGTGAAGTCTCTTCTTAGTGAAAAAATGAGTTACTACTAAGAGGTAGTAAGAGGTGTATGGAGATATCTCTCTTATTAGTGAAAAAATTATTTCTTAGCACAGGTAAAGGTTCTTAGCACGTGTATGGAATGATATAGTTATCTGAATTGATAAAATGAGATAAATAGCTAGCTCTGTTTGCGGTGGCAGGTATCCAACTTTTCTATGACTGTGCTTGGTAATGCGTGGCGTTTTAGTGTTGTTTTGTCGGAAGAAGAACTTATCTTTATTGTTCTGCACGTTCACGTGTGTGTCTCCAGCAATCATAAAAAAAGTATTCGACAGGCGGACAAATCTCTTCCTAGACCTTAACACATCGATATGCAAAATTTTGGTGACCCACCTACGATCGTACGATTTATGCTAGATTCAGGAAAGCTGGCGACATCCAACGGAAAATTTATGCAAAATACCTGTCCAGTAAAACATATCTCTGAATGTTCTTACCTCTAGGAAGGACATATCTTTAATTCCGCGGATTTACTGTGCTGTTTTTGTTCTACTTATTGGAAGCTATAACTTACATTGGGTTTGGTAGATTTCTTGTCGTTCGGTATAGTATTAATTATTTGGGTCCAGATGATGCGTTCTTTCGTTGTACTTGTATTTCAGTAGCCTGGTTACCAAACCTATTATAGCTCCCGAGTCCTACATCCTCTCCGCAAGGCTAGTATTTTCAGGTATTCAAAATGACAAAATTGAACATGCTTCGAGGCAAAAGGACAATTATAGTTATCAATATATATATATACACGATTACACACACACACACACACACACACACACACACACACATATAAATATATATAAACAAGAAAATGAAAACCGAACCAATCTACTCAATAAATCATGAAACAGCAAGATGTTTCCAGTGCTTTTTTACTTTCTGCAATGAGCTAAATATGTACACAGTATTACATAACAATAACATAACTCATAACAATAATAATTACACTTAGTTTCAGACATTGTCATGGCCTCAAACTCTGTCAAATTTGTAGTTGTATCCGCATCCTCAAAACTGCCTAGCAGTTTACTTCATGGCGTAACAATACGCCCTAGAGTACATGGCCATGCTCATTTCGTTATTACACCACGGTGAGCGGAGCATACATGTAGAAGTGTAAAATACCTCAAGTCTGTAAAGTACAACATTTTTCTAACAAAGCAAAATACGAGCCGACTCCATGATATGATAGGCTGGCATGTTGACTATACAAATCGATGTCTGGCTTTCTCCTCTTGAAAATTCACTGGTGTGTGTCTGGTCACACAAATCGTCCCACAAAATCTGTGCATGTAGTACAACGCAAAACCACAGAAAGCACTTGTGTACGTGTTTGTGTTTACAGAGGAGTATCTGCTCCGAAAAAGTACAACACACTGCACATCAGTGGAAAAACGACGAACAATAAGGAGTGGTTTTGACAAGGAAGCATTCAATATACTCCAAGTGCCAAAAGTAGAACAGTTCCCCTACAAGACCAAGTGAGTCAACAAAAGGGAAACATCGTCCTATGCAAGAACACAAAACAATGCTTAAAATAGTACACAAAAAGTCAACAATATGTTACGTGGTGTTTAGCAGCATATGAATCAATTCCACATTTGAGTGCTTTTATCAGACAGGTCCAACCCAGCTAGACACGATTTTCGGGTTGACGGGCGTCTCAAAGGTGCGTCTGCGGGACCCGGCGGTGCTGGGCGGGCGCTGTGATCGCAGGGTGGGCGGCGTGCGGCGACTCACCCCGGCCAGCTCACGGTAGTGGTCGCCGTGATGCTTCACCGACCGGAGGATGTTCGTCAGTACGTGCTTATCTTGAAAAAGAAGAAAAAAAGAACACAAAATAAGTCAAGAAACCTCGTACCTAAATGGTCCATCCGCTCGACCAGACGACCTGCAACGAAACCATCGCCTCCAAGGGTTCTTTTTTCGTCACACACTCCATTTGATCATGAATTTTCTCGTCGGAACCTTTCCATAGCTGTGCCTCTTTGTCAAAGGAAATTCATAGTCAAGAAAAGGAGTTCCACGACATCATACCTTTGCCAAATGATGTTAACCTTTAAGGATGACAAATTATAAAGGCTTCTCATTGATTGTGCAAATAAATTCCTGATTTGCATAATCACATTGGCCTTGGTTACGTTTTTGATAGCGTGTGTATGTATGTATGTATATGGATCAGGATCTAATTAGCATAATTAATGGCCAAATTCCATATATCTGCTGCATTCCTTCATAGGACTATTTGAACATGTGACATTTGTAATTGAGAACGAGATAAACATTGACAGATGTTGATTATGTAAATAAAGACTCAATTTGCATAATTAATGATGCTATGATGCTACCTGTGCTAACTTCTGAGAGTTTCATACTTTCAGGCATTTGTAAGTTAAGTGAAGGTCAACATCATTAAACACTGCTTATTCAAATCAGGACCTCATTTGCATAATTCATTAGGAAGTTCTACAATAGCCCTCTGTGTTAATGCTGAGGTCACATTTCCAAACCGGGGCCCAGCTGGGCAATGTAATGGAACGAAAAATATGACATAAAAGACATAAAAGCACAAAAAAAAGTTAAAGAAAATTTATCATGGAAACTATTCGCGTGTATTATTAATAATAAATTGTTGATTGTTGGTTAATCGTAACAGCCCGACTGGTCCCCAGTTTGGAAATGTGACCTCAGCATTAGGTTGAGTCCAGCCTTTTTAGCTTTGGTGCGCTCCAGGCTGGACTGTGATTGGGCAAAGAATATGACATTATCATTGATTAATTCATATCATACAAAAGGCAATGATAATAAAGAGTTTGTACCTCTCCCGGGTTCGGTCTGATTGATCATGTCTCTGAGACAGTCCGGGTCCAGTGTGCTGAGGTCCTGATGTTCCACACGGCCGTTAGTGGAGTTGTACTCACGCTGGTACGTCGTACGGCCCTTCAAATGGTTCTGCAGCTGAGATGCATTGGGTGCTGTGCAAACAAATGGACACAGCAACAGTTGTATACATGCTTTTCTTTATATTCCAATATTCATATTTATATGATATTTTTATATCTAATCACAAGACGTGGTGACGGCACACTCAAGTTTTTTTCAACTTATATTAATGCCGCCACCAGTTAACACGGGACAATACAATACTCATTTTCACCTGAGCGAAGTGAGGAAAGTCACGTAAAGTGATTTTCCCAAGGGCACTGTGAAGATCGGTGGCATGTCAGGACTCGAACACAGGACCTCTTGATTCTGAGTCGAGCACTCTGCCACTTACGCCACACGACCCTACATGCTTTGCAGTTAAACTACTTGACATACTTAGTACCACATGAATATAAACCCTGACACCATTCTGATAATAACACAGAGGACTTCTGATATTTTCTTTTTGATTAGACAAATTGGTAATTAAGTTCAAGAAAGGGTAGCCTTGCAACATAGAACCACCCCCCAGCCCTTACTGTCCCAACTGTTTCTGGAAACCCCCTATGTGCAGTTAGAATCCTGCTTGGGGTGGTTGGAAATGGGTGTGAAAGGGTTTGTAAAGGGTGTGGAAAGGCTGGAAATGGGTGAACGGTATGGGTGTGGAAGAGTTGCAGCTACCTCAGTGCATTTGGAAATGGGTGTGGATGGCCTGCAGTTAGATATGGCCTCAGGAGAAGCTTAAAGTCACACGGTGCCCTGTTTTGGGGTTTTAGTATTTTTATTTTGGCGAAGGGGATTTTGTATTTGGCCTATGAAGCTTACCAATTCCATGTGCCGGCACCATCTTCTTAGCAAAACAGCCATATCTGGTGGTGTTTTCCTTGAGCTGTGGCTGTTGCACGGGTCGCCGGTATGTGTAACGCATGAAGGAGTCCAGAGAGTACGGCACCTGTGACTTCCAGTCCAGCGGGGCGTCAACAGCATTCCCCACCTGGAATCCTGAAGGTAAAGAAATCACAGGAGGTGGTGAATAAATTCTGAAATAAACTGGATAATAAACAAATATTTCTCAATTCACTCACTTGATCATAGCATTGACAGCGAGGGCTCAATGACTGGGCACCATTACGATACCTCAACAATACATTTAGCTGTTCAATGAAGATTTCCCCCACCCACTACAGTATTGTAGGAGACAACTGACCTCCTTCTACACTAAATTCACCAGGGCCTCATTTGCATAATAGTTGAAAATGCTACAACAGTATTTGTTATGATAACTTTTTCAAACTTCTGATATTTGGGTACAGATTATGTCATTCAGTTCAGAATAATTCTTCATTCATTCATTCATTCATTCATTCATTCATTCATTCATTCATTCATTCATTCATTCACTCACTCACTCACTCACTCACTCACTCACTCACTCACTCACTCACTCACTCACTCACTCACTCATTCATTCATTCATCAATTAAAAGGATAAGATCATGAAACGACTTAGCAATGTTCTATTTACCTTGTGGGATGCCCAGGAAGTCTGACTGGTAGGTGGACTTAGTCTGGTCCTTGATAACTTGATCCATGATGTTGTCGGTGAGCTCTGTTCCCCACTGGCTTCCATCCTGTAGTGCCTTCTCACTTCGTGGAAACTTCCACACCATGAATGACTGGGGGCAGGGAATATCAAGCACGTTATGAATGTGAGTTTGCTTGTCAGTGACATGCTAGTACCCAACAAACAAAAATAAGGGGACGGTCTGAGGATGAATATGCAACGAGCTTCAAATATTTGAATGAATAAATGCTAGTAAATGGTTTATTTCAATTATATATTGATAATAAAATCATACAGCAGATGATATACCATTGTAGCACCAAAATCGCTGAATTGAGATTATTATGATTCACAATTTTAGCTCCTAGCTTTTACGTACCTTTACCTACATGTAGAAGGTTATGTGCTTGATATGTTTGTTTGTATGTATGTATGTATGTATGTATGTACGTATGTATGTTTGGATGTGAATAAAAATTAGCTATAAATGGATGGTCATTAAATTTGGTAGGTATTGTGTCTTGACATATCAAAGAAACAATTGGCTTTCCTTGGTACTGCAGCAAAACTTCTGGTTTTGATATCTTGTGATACTGACATTTCAGGGTCATGATTTTTGTGTGGCAAGCAGCTATGTATAATTTGCAAAACTAAAAGAATTTACTTAGGTTTAGGTGTAAAGTCATGCCCGTAGCCAGGGGGGGGGGGGGGAAGAACCCCACCCCCACATGGCTCAAAGGTCCACTTTTTGGTCCACTTTTTATATGAAGGTCCACTTTTTGATACACTTTTTATGTAAAGGTCCAAGATGGGTATGCATGGAGGGGCACTACTCAGTAAAGTGGATAATGATTAGTTTTTATTCGTTTATTTATTTCAACTTTATTTACATATGGTAAAATTAGGCCATGGGAAAACAGGACTCCCTGAACAAACTAAGATAGAAATGAAGAAAATAACATGATGGTAATTGTGACAAAAATACTGATAACAATAATTGTAACAAAATAATAAAGTGACAAAATGATCAAAAGAAGTCAAAAATCAATAACAATTGAGACAATAATTGAAACAATAATTGAAACAATAGTAATAATAATAGCAAATAATAACAATGATAACAATTAAAAAATGAATGAAGAAAGAATAAATGAAGGATTTAGGACAAGGTACAATTTTGGCATTGGCAGTGGGAAATCCATGTGCAGATGTTGTTAGGGTCGAATTTGTTGTATATAAGAAGATTGTAATGATCAAGTACAGCTTTTTTAAAAGTGAAGAAGGAGGCTGTTTATTAATCTGTGAAGTATCAATAAAAATATGGTCTCTGCTCTTCAGCATGCCTTTAAAGTAAAGGTTAATATCAATTGATATAAATGTAAAGGTAAAATTAATTATGTTAATCATGGCCTTGTTTTCATAATCACTCACTAATAATAAGAAAATGCTACAATATAGTTGTTAAGATAACAGTCATCATGAACCCCCATGCAGACCCTTTATCAGACTGGACAGGATTTCCGCTTTCTGAACCGGACGATCTTTTCCGCCAACCCATCATATGAAAAAATTGGCGTAGAAGGTTTAAAAACCATAATAAAGAAAAATTAAAAAGCACTCTAAAGAAAACGGTGTTGAAGAAAGAGAATAAAAGGGATAAAAGGGAAAAACTATAAAGGAAAAAAG